TATGGCGATCGTGCCCTGCTCTCTGGTCCCTGAGGTGCCCTCGGGCCTGCCGGGGGGGCGAGGGGAGGCAGGAAGGAAATGGCTGTAGGGCGGTGGTGGAAGCACGGGGGTTTGGGCGGTGGCGCCGGGTTTGGATCGCGGAACCGCGGGGCTCTTGGGCTGGGGGGGAGCTCCGGGCCCATCCCATCCCACCCCTGCCCTGGGCAGGGACACCTGTGCTGAAACCTCTGTCCAGCACGGCCTTGGAGACGATTTTAAGCTCCGCTTTCTTTTTCCATCACAGTGAGCTCTGTGAGTGGGGCTGGTTTGTTTTTCAGGCAGCAAACGGGATGGGTGTACGGTGAGTTAAGTCGTGTGTTTAACTACAGAAAAAGGCAAACAAACAAAATCTAGGGTCTGGAAGGAAGTGCATTGTCTGGGTAGAATGACTAAAAAACTCGAGGAAACAATGCCCTACACACGTGTGGAGCTGGATGCTGGATGCGCTTAAACTAAAAATTTGGAAACGACTTAAATACATCTTTAAACGCTCTTGAATGCTTCATCCTCCTGTTCTACACCTCGGTGCGTTTCTCTCCTTGTTGCTAAGGTGCTGTTTTGCTTTTTCCTTCCTCTCCCAGGCTCATGTCCCAGGCCAGAGCGGCTGCAGTACGCAGAGCTCAGCCAGAGCTCCATGGAAATGCAGGATTTTCCAGCTGGGAGCCAAATCTCCTTTATTTGCCGCCCAGGATACATCAGGGTCACGGGGATGTCACTCACCTGGACGTGTGGTGATGATTTGCAGTGGTCACGCGAGGGCGTGTTCTGTACAGGTAATTTTTTTTGTCCCCCCCTCCTCTTTTTCCCCGCTGATATTTAACATTTTCACTTGGTTTGCAAGTGGGAATTGGGGTTTTGCTGTATTTTAAACAAAGCTTGGAAAACGCTGGTGTGGGTAAGAGCAATAAGATTTTGTCTTTGTATGTAACTACAAAAATGTAGATATTTTTTTTTTCTTTTTTTTTTTTTTCCCTTCCCCCAGAGAGAAAATGTCCATACCCAGGAGACTTGGAAAATGGTTATTTTGATCCAACAGATCTTACATTTGGTTCAAAATTGACATTTTTTTGTAAAGAAGGGTAAGTGTTTTGGTGAAGTTAATGAATCCTTTTTTATGTTTACACCAGATTTGAACCAAACCCAAATTTTCTGTTCTAGTTCTGACCTGAAATCTGAATTCTACCTGTAACAAATGAAATTACAGCTGAATTTAATTTGATTCCCTGGTTTAATTATTCTTTGCATCAACCCTAAGCTTTCTAGTGAGATTTTGCAGAACTTGAGTGCTACCTCCAGTGACTTCTTTTAATGCTCCTGTGGCAGAGGGAGTAAATTTGCTTTCAAAGTGGGACTGTCAGCAAAATAAACAAGATTCTGTTCTCATTACAGCAGAACCTCGGTGTGTTATGTCCCCTTAAGGACAGAACAGAATTAATTATAAGAACGAATTTTTTGGTGCTTGTTGGAGAAATGAGAAATTTAAGTTTCACTTCTTGAAAATTTTTACCTGTTCAGATACAGATTACAGGGTAGTGAAGAGATTTCCTGTGATATCAAGGGTGAAGGTGTTGGCTGGAGTGCAGCTCTGCCTTCCTGTGAAAGTAAGTAAATTACTGCTGGGTCTGATTTCCTATTCAGGGGGGTGGTAATTAATTTACAAACAGCTCTGCCACCAGTTTTCCAGTATAAAAAATGATGGGAAAACAGGAATGATTTTTTTTTCTTAACTACTTGGCTTGTGCCTGAGGAATGACCACTGAAAAATGTCAGTTTTTGTGGTAATCATCTTATATTAAAATCAACCTCATGTTGTGTGATTTTGGGTAGCTGTGTCAGATTTAGAACGAAATGACCTTTAAATCAAGGCTTGCTCTTTGAGATGAACCATCTAACCCAGCAAAACCAATTCTTGTGCTTTATTTACAGAAATCCCTTGTGAGCCACCACCCAAAATAGCCAACGGGGTCTACGAGGAAAGGGTCAGCTACGTGTACCAGAGCTCAGTGACCTACAGGTGTCAGGATGTTCCCAAGGGCAGCGATCCCTTCTCCCTCATTGGCAATGCCACGATCCACTGCACGTCTGATGAACACTCCAACGGAGTTTGGAGTGGGCCACCTCCAGAATGTCGAGGTTGTTGGGGTTTTTAATGCTTTGCTGCAGTGTCTGTCCCTTTCTTGGGAAGCAGGATGGAGTTTGCCTCTAGGAAAGAAGGAACAAAAGCTCTGGGACAAAGTTTGGGACAGTTCCAGTGGAGGTCACGTCAGTGTGGTGGATATTGATGGAGTTATGAGACAGAATATGACTAAAATTTAAGTTAAATCTTGAAAAATAACTGTGTGAGTGTCTTGTTGGTAGAAGTGACAAGGCCAAAGTGGAGGAGCTGGGAGACCACAAATCCCACAGAAAAATTGTGTCAAGGGCAAGGATGTGGGGGTTGGATTAGGAAAAATCCTTTTCCTTAAAACACAGTCACTATGGAAGTGCAGGAATCAATGTTTTTCCTCCAAAAAAAGTGGTGGAAGTTGGCACGCAGGAAAAGGATGTTGTGTTTGGTGCAATGTTTGTGTTAACAAATGTTTCCAAGCTTTTGTTTTCATTTATTGACAAATGCTGGCGTTAACAAATGTTTGGCCTCTTTTCAGTGGTCAAATGTGAAGACCCCAGAGTTGAAAATGGGAGAAAAAAATCTGGATTTGGAAATTCCTACAGTTACAAGGACTCAGTTGTGTTTGAGTGTGAACAAGGCTATTTCTTGGTTGGAGCAGAGGTAATTACCTGTGAAGAAAGTAGCACCTGGGTTCCTCCAATACCAGCTTGTGAGAAAAGTAAGATTTTCTGTAATTTTTTTGTGTGTTAAAAGTGTTTTAGCTAAAACAGAGCATCATGGTGTTCTAGTGATTTCATGGGTGAAGGCAGGAGGAAAGGTGTGGAATGCAGGAGGAAATATTTGATCCAGAGAAGGAGGAGTATGCACAGTGAGGAAAGCTGTAGTATTTCTGGAGTAGTGGAAATCTTTGTGTGTCTTTTTCTAGGCAGCTCTTCAGCTCCTGCTTTCTAGAAATGATTCTAGAGCTCGGAGGAGTAATGAACCAGCTTGGATTTCTGAGCTGCCTCATTATAGACTCGTGTTACCTTAATGAATACCTACATTTATTCATTTTTATGATGATTATGATCATTTTTGTGATGTTTTAAATTTTCTGCAGGGAATATTTGTATTTAAATTTGGGGTAAAGTTAAACTTCTGACATGTGCTGAGCTATTTTTCTTACACGAAATCAAGTTGTATTTGTGGAATGAGTTGCTGAACTATGAAGTGAACTGCATTCTCACTAAACTTGTTCCAAGTTCTTGTGGCAGCTCCTGCAGAGGTGTGTCCTGCCCCAGAGGTCCCCAATGGGCTTCTGGTTCCAGTCAAGGCTGACTATAACAAAGGAGAGTCCGTGCAGATCCGGTGCAACCCCGGCTGCTCCTTCCCTGACGGCTCTGCAGAGGTGACAGTGACCTGTGGAGAGCAGAGGTCCTGGGGTGCTTTACAGCACTGTGCCTGTGAGTGAAATCGCTAAAATCAGGAGCAGACTGGCAAATTTGAAATGTCTGATGTAGTAATACATTTATTTATGATCTTTTAATGATTTTTTAATGATTTATTTAATGATTGTTAACAATATTTTAATGATTTCTTTATGATTTCTTTATGATTTCTTTATGATTTCTTTATGATTTCTTTGATTTCTTTGATTTCGTTATGATTTCTTTATTTCTTTATGATATTTTGTGATTATTTTATTATTTTTATTATTTTTTATTATTTTATAATTTTTATGAATACTAATGATTTCTAATGATTTTTAATGGTTCTTTTAAGATTTTTTTATGCTTATTTTATGATTTTTATGATTCTTTTATGATTTTTGATTTTTTTAATTTATTTATGATTCTTCAATGATTCTTCAATGATTCTTCAATGATTCTTCAATGATTCTTCAATGATTTTTATGATTTTTTCAAATTATTTTTTATGATTTTTAAAATTATTTTTAAATGATTTTTTTAAATGAAATTTTATTTTTTTAATGATTTTTTTGTAATGATTTTTTTTTTTTCCTCCCCACCCTTTTCTTTCCAGGCGAGCCTAAAGGCTCCGGTTCCACACCAGTCATAAATTATGGGAGAGTGGCAGCTGGAGAAAAATCTTCCTATTCTGTGGGGGATTTCATCACCATCGAGTGTTACACGGGGTACACCTTGCAGGGGGAGCCTCGGATTCAGTACACCGGAGACAACCAGTGGGTGCCAGCAGTGCCAAGCTGCCAGCTCAGTAAGTGCAGGCTGCAAAAACTCCCACCAGCATGAAAATACACCCTTTTGGTAATCAGGAGAAGTAGTTTGGTGCAGCTTCCTTCTTTATTTTGATGTGGAAAATAAGGTTTTTGTTATTGGCCAGGAGGAAAAACTCCCATCAGCTTCCAGCAGTTTCAGCTGCCTTAGCTCTCAGTCCTTTGGTATTAAGGAGAAATAGTTTAGTGCAGCTTCCTTCTTTATTTTGATGTGGAAAATAGGGTTTTTGTTACTGGCCAGGAGGAAAAACTCCCATCAGCCTCCAGCAGTTTCAACTTCCTTCGCTCTCAAAGCTAATCTTAAAAGTGCAGAATTTAATATATAACATAAACCAGGCTTTTGGGGATACCAGTATCATAAAGGACATTCCACCCCTTCAACCTGTGAACACCTGCCTAAAAATTATCAGTTATATTCAATATGCAAGTATTTTAAAACAATAAAACTACTAAATTAACAAAAAGAAAAAAAAAATCACTAATTTCCACCCCTAGACTTTTTACCATCACTGCTGTATAAACTTAAGGCAATCATGCTTTGCTATTAATTAATCTTTTATCTCACAGCTTCAGTTCAAAAACTGGGCAGAAACACCATTTTATATTTAAATATTATTTAAAATATTAATTAAAATGTTAATATTCTAAGTTAAATATGTTTTATCATTTAAATTAATCTGCTTCAAGGATTGTGTTGCTAGAAGTACCTTGAAAAAGGTCTGTGAATGTTTTTATAATAATGTTTGAATAAGAAGCACCTCTGTTCCTCTTGTGACACTGATTCCTTCTGTTTTTAGGTGGATATATTATAGCCATCATCTGTGGTAAGTATTTTCTAAAACCTTAAAAAATATACAATACAAATTATTTTTTTTTATGTGAAAATTCATGCTGCATGATTCAAAAAAAGATTGTTTAGCTATTACAGTTTAATTTAGTGTG